TCTAAGTTTTCTCTTATAAATTTTTTCAACTCTTCTACATATTCCGAGGTTTTGAATGGAAAATTAAATATTATTAGATTCTTCTTAGTCGTTTCGTTTAACATTTTATCAATTTCAAAATCCACCATACCTTTTAGCTTGCTATGCGAGTCCGTTCTTTCTTCTAATATACGTAGTTTTTTGTACATGTCCTTCATCTCTTCCTTTATCTTTAAATTTTCTTCATTCATACGGTTAATTTCAGCTCTCATAGAACGGATTTCGACGTTTAGACGATCAAATTTGTCTTGGATTAATTCATAAACTGATTTCAGTGAGTATTCAGGTTCAACAGTCTTTGTTCGTAAATCTTCTTCCGGTTCAAAAAAATCTTTTATTGTACCATACCTTGAGATATCAGTGTTGTTCTTGGATTGTTCCTCAATTAAGTATTCTTCTCCTGACATTTCGCTTGTCTGAGTATTTTCCTCTATATCTCTTGTATACTGTCTACGTGGTCTTCCTCGTCCCCTTTTTTGCATACCTGCTTGACTTGGTAATGGAGGAGATCGAGGAAAAGGTCCGGGATTTAACTCAATACCAGCAATCATTAGTAGAATTAGAATTATTATTCGAGTTAATAAAACATTTAAACTACATATTTCAGTTCTAAACTTATTATTTTGTTGTAAAAATTCCATGTCTAACGTCGCCACAACAGCTCAGCAAAAAAGTCACCAACACCTCCGCAGGCTAGACACGCCCCCCCGATATCTTATAATTATTATAAATGTAATAAAGCTATATTATTATATTTAAGCTATAAATAATGTATAAATAACATTTAACTTTCAGGCTTGGCTTACTGGTGATGTCATAGGCTGTACGATAGATTTAGACAATGGATCCATTTGTTTTTACAGGTAAAATGAAAATTTCTTTAGTTTTTTTTAAATAATAGAATTAAAGACTGTCTTTTATGTTTTTTACATATTCAAACAAAAAGACACTTTAAAAGTATCAAAGGTGATAATTTTTATTTAGAAATTATTTTTTTGTCTGTAAAATGCAAAAATATTTAAATAAGAATAGACCCATTGTTTTTAATATTTTATTTTAGTATATAGACATTTTAAGATGAAGTTTTATCTTAGTTTACAGTTTAGGAAAACCTATATCCACTAGGAAATCATTGAAATTTTATTTTATTTTTTTAAATTTTATAAACAAGACAGACTTGTCAATAATTCTTTTAAATGGTAAAAAATCCATTTAAAAGAATTATTGACAAGTCTATGTCTTGTTTATAAAATTGCAGTGCTGTAATGGCTAGACATTACAGCACTGCAATTTTAGAGCTGCATTTCTCAACCTGGGGGTCATGGTGATATTACAAGGGGGGTTGCAAAACAATAATGAAATTATTTTATGAGAAAAAATTATTTATTATAAACTTATAAACATTTTACTTACAATAAGTACACATGTAAAGAAAAGAAATTAATGTGATGGTTGCATTTGTTTATTTAAAATTTTCTCCATACGTGGATCTACATTAGAAACACACAAAAGCAAATTGTTTTCGAGTGATAAAAGACAATTTACATTTATAAATTACATTTATAAAAAAAATAATGTAATAAATAAAAAAATTTACATTTATAATTACAGTCAAAATTCAATTAGTAATAGTAAATGTGAGATAAGCAGAGGGTCAGGGTTAATCCCTTCTGACCACTTATGTTGCAACAGGTTGGTAAAACCTGATCTCTGATTTTCGGATGGCTTAGGAGGGCAAATTTGAGTGGGGATGGTGTTGGTAAGTTGGCAGGTACAACGATAGATGACAAGTTAAACAAAATAACAAAACATTTATTTGAATAATTAAGCTAGGTTACATGAGACGATAACAATATATAGGTTAAATGCGGTTAAATATGAGTTAACTACACAAAGGGCTGCTCTTAACAGCTCTACCGGCTATTCTGAGAGAGAGAGAGTTCACAAAGCTCTAAAATACAAATACCTCTATGAGGATATGACTAATATGCATTCGTTGAATGGGCCATCCAAATCATAGTCAGCACAGGAACTGTAGAATGGCGATGGAAGTTCAAAGTTGCTGTCTGTCATATGGCGATGTCCCTTCAGTCACTATGTCTGGTGTATGGAGACAAGATGCACACAGTAACAAGTATAACTTCCTTTGGTTGCCCGGAGCTTCCGGGGGTTTGAGCTTTTATACGTTCTTCATGGGAAAGGAGTCACATGATCGACTTCTGTTGACACTAGCAGTGCATTCCGATCAACTAAGTGTCAACTTTCCCACCTAATTGTGAAAACAATCGATGACCTCTGATATAATTTCCGCCAAGAGTGTTTTTTCATAAGAGTTGTTTACGAAGGTTTTTATTTTCAACATCTGCGGAAAAATAGTGAATCTCACACCAGGCTTACTGTTATTATTTCTTTGGGTGGGGGGTCATGAAATATTAATTTTATTTATATTTACTATTTGGGGGTTGCAGAGCTAAGAAGGTTGAGAATTGCTGTCTTAGAGGTATGAAGGAGTACATGTCAGGAGTTGCAATTTGGCACAGAGTATTTGGTGCCCAAATCATGCTCACATAAAAAAAACCAGATTTGTAGGTACTCAGGGGACTAAGGACCAAGTCAAAATAAAATACAAAATGTGACACTCTTTCTACAAACAGGTGCTAGTGTGAAATTTGCATATGTGTTGCTCATTGGAAAGTTGGAAATGCAAACGTTGCAAAATAAAATTTTGACAAACGAATCTTTGAAAAAAACCCATTAATTTCACCAAACATGTCTCTGTGGACGTTGTGGCCATGGCCGAGGCTGGCGAAGTTTGAACATTCATGCTCAAAACCAGCAATACCAAAGAAGATTGGAGAATGAGACTCATCATGAGCATTGAAGTGATCCTGCTTTGTAGTGAGTCTCCAAGACATAGGAATCATCCCAAAAATGGTCTTGCCATTTTACTTGTTTACAATCTAAGTTTATCTGTGGAAGAAAATAAACAACTTTAATTATATAATAGAATGAAATAACAAATTATCTTCAGTTTTGTTATTTTCAACAAATATTACATTTGGGTATCATAATTTCTTGGTATTTTAAAAGCTTTAATCATAATAATTTAAAATTTCCACAGGAGACTAAAAGAAATGTTTATTATTATGTTGGGTCTAGTGGGTTATACTTGATTCACACTGGTGGCTGTGTACTATGCCGGACCAGAGTCAAGGCATAGCAACCAAAACAAAACTAAAATTTAATAAGTGTGTCAGTGTCTGTATTCAAAAATTTCTTAACAACATGGCATGTATTCAATATAGTGGCCTTCTGTAGTGTGATGTATGTATTTCTCTTCAATTTTAATGTTCCCAGGCTTTTGTGTAGTGTGTGTGGTATCACACCTGTACAGGAGAGAACGACAAGTACAATAAGCACCCTATCCATCCTCCACAGATGCCTTATTTCCTGGGCAAGTTCTGTGTACTTGCTAATTTTTTCAGTGCATGTGTTTTGTACATTGTGAGTGTTTGGAATGGCTATGTCTATAATGTATGTGATTTTATTGTGTTTGTCAATGAGTGTGATGTCTGGTCTGTTGTGGTAAATTGTTTTATCTGTGATTATGGCTCTGTCGTAATACATTTTGTGCGTGTTATTTTCCAATACTGTCTGTGGAATATACTTGTAGTATGGTTCGTGGATGTCTGCCAATTTGTGTTTCTTTGCAAGCTCTTGGTGTATTATATTTGCTACTTGATTGTGTCTATGTAAGTAATCTGTCTGTGCCAAGAGCTTGCAACCAGAAGTGATGTGTTGTATAGTTTCTGGCATGATGTGACATTTTCTGCATGTGTCATTTGTGAGTGTTGTATCTTTGAGTATGTGTTTTCTGTAGTTTTTAGTATTTATGACCTGATCCTGTATGGCAATCATGAATCCTTCCGTCTCCCCAAAGAGGCATCCCCGATCTAACCAGCTGTTTGACGCAGTTTTGTCAACAAAATCCTGGGCCAGGTCGTAAGGATGCCTGCCATGGAGAGCCTTTTGAGCCCATGATTGCTTAATGTTGTCTATGCTTTTTATATGTTGTGTCATGTCTGTATGTTGTGAGTGTAAGTTTAATGGTGTGTTATTTGAGTCTGCTAGAGTTACTGCTTTATGTAACTGTGATGTTTCTTGTTTCTTGTAGAAAAACTCTCGCAGTGACTGTATTTGTTTGTAGTGAAGGTTAACTATGTCAATCAGGCCACGTCCGCCTTCTTTACGTGGAAGGGTTAATCTTTCTGTGGCGGATTTAGGATGATGTTGTTTATGCTTAGTAAGTGTTGTTCTTGTTTTCCTTTGGAGTTGCTCGAGATCTGTGTGAGTCCAATGTATAACTCCAAAAGAGTATGTGAGTACTGGGATGACATATGTGTTTATTGCTTTAACTGTGTGTTTTGCATTTAACTGTGTTCTAAGTATAGCGTTTAACCTACTTTGGTATTCTTTAATTAATCGTTGCTTTATTTGTGTATGTTCTGTTAGTTTGGCCTGTTGGAATCCTAAGTACTTGTAGAACTCGCCCTCTTCCATGGATTCAATAACGTCTCCATTTCCAAGTGCAAAATCTTCTTTCTTCAGGATTCCTTTTTCTATGTGAAGTTTTTTGCATTTGTCTAGGCCAAACTCCATTTGTATGTCCTTAGTGTATGAATGTGTGATTTGTAGGAGTTGATGAAGTTGTTTTTGTGTGGATGCATAAAGTTTTATGTCGTCCATGTACATGAGATGTGAGAGTGTAAACTGTGTTGTTTTTTCGTGTCTGATATTGTAGCCGTATTGCGTGTTGTTTAACATGTTGGATAATGGATTCAGGGCTAGGCAGAACCAGAGAGGACTCAAGGAATCTCCTTGAAAAATTCCTCGCCTAATGAATATCTCATTTGTTTGTATGGAAGTGTTACTAAAACTGATGCAGTGTTGTTCTCCAGTGTTGCATAGTGTTTTCGAAGAATGCAATGAGTGATAACTCATTGAATGCGAAGAATGCAATGAGTGATGACTCATTGCATTTTTCGAAATATTTTGTACACGTGTAGAATATGTAGCAGCCAACTGTGTGGAACACTGTCGAATGCTTTTCTGTAGTCTATATATGCCATGTGTATGTTTCTGTGTTGTTTGTGTGCTTGTCGTAGAATGACTGAATCTATGAGTAACTGTTCTTTGCATCCTCTGTGATTTTTACGGCAACCTTTTTGTTGTTCTGTAAGAATGTCGTGTTCTTCAACATGTTTGTATATTTTGTTTGTGATACAGGATGTCAATAATTTGTATAGTGTTGGAAGACATGTAATTGGTCTGTATTGTGTGGGGTCTGTAGTGTTGTTGTTTTTATGTTTCATGTAGGTGATGCCCTGAGTAAGAAATTTTGGCATGTCTTGTGGATTGATGATGATGTGTTAGATGTTTAGCTAGTTCCTGGTGCAGTGATGTAAACTTTTTGTACCAGAAATTGTGAATGTTGTCTACACCAGGTGTCTTCCAGTTGTGTGTTCTGTTAATAGCGTAGCGTATGTCGTGTACGTTTATTTCAGCACAGGGCATAGTTGGTATGTTGTGCAAGTTTCTGTTCTCCTCCTCGATCCAGCCTGCATCAGCATGCTCTGCTCTTACACACAATGCATCAGCATTGTGTGTAACAGCATTGGACCAAAGAGAAGACCAATAAGTTGTGAGTTCTTCTTCTGTTGGTGTGCCACTGTGCTGTGTATCAGTGTTTGTTTTTTTACTGATTTGTCTGTAGAAAAGTTTTTCGTTGTTTGTGAATAATTTATTTTGTTGTTTTCGTAGTGTATATGCTTTGTATCGTTTGAGTCTACCTGCTTTGGCTGCGAGTTTTTGTTTTAGTGTATTGATTTATTCTGTAATGTGTGTGTTGTGATGTTCGTGTTTTGTGTGTGTTTTGATTTTCTTGAAAATTTTTTTGAGTTGTTTCTTTAATTTGGGTGTTATGTTGTTTTTAGTGTATTGTGTCAGCCTGCCTAATTGCTGTCTAATGTCATTTATTTGTGTTTCTATTCTTCTCTGCCAGGCAGGCTTGTGATAGGATTGTGTTTTGTGTGTGTCTGTCTGTGAGTGTATTTTCAGTCCATGGTGTGTTACTACTGTGACTGCCCCAGCATAAACTAATGTATGAATGTCTGTAAGTGTAGAAATTGAATGAATGTAGTTTGGTAGTAAGTGAGTGTTTACATAATCTAGTGTTTTTCCTACTGCCTTTGACGTGTTGATTTTTGGTATTCGTGGTCTTTGTGTGGGATCTGTACCAGTATATTTAATGAGTGTTTCCTGAAATATAAGTGAGAGCGTATTAACTAATTCTATGTCTACGTTATCAGTGATGGATGGGGAAGTGCCTGCAGTATCATTAGTGGTACTTGTTGTGTGTGTGCTGTAATCAGTGCTTGTTGCTGGATTATCCTGACAGGTTACGTGATCTTCATTAATGTTAAATGTTTCTGTCTGTTGATGTATTTGATCAGCAACCTGTTGTTTGATAAGTTCAAGTGTTGTTTGTGGGATAAGGTTGTTGTGTATAATTGTTCGTTTTTGATCAACAACCCTTTGTTCGGTGACAGTGAGGTGAGGATATTGTTGTGTGAATATGTGGTGTAGTTGTTGTCTGTATGCTGTCATGTTTGTTTCGAGTCTTGTGATGGTGTAGTAAGTGCGGATGATAAACTCGTTCATTTCTGTTGTCCATTTCATCCGTTGGCGTGGTTTTCCAGCCTTTGTGGTCTGTGGATGCATTGCCACAGAAACACCAAGGCTAGGTTGATTCCTCACATCTGTTGAGGGCATTGCAGTAGCCATGCTTGGGCCGGCGCTGCTTTCGCCACCGGTAACCAAGGGAGACTGGAGCCTATTTTTCGAACGTGAGCCTCTGCCTAACCCACGAACGCGGACCTTGTTAACCCGGGCGACGTCCGAGCCGGTATCATACTTAGATCTGGTTACTACCATGATAAATATTTCCACATAATGTGGGTGTGTGGTCACTCTTAGCTTCATTTCTCCCCATAGACCTTACTGGCATGGGTGTCCCTACCAGGAGTTTGTGCTCCAGCCTGCATTGCCCTATGGATCAGTAAAATTACTAGGCTCTCCCACCACGACCAGGTGGTGACCACGGGAGAGTTATTATTATTATTATTATTATAAAATGATAATATATATTGGACTGGTAATATGTCTAAAATAGCCTTTGTGTCAATAAAACCAACAAATCAAACCAATTATTAATTGTATTTAAAAGATATGTTTTGTTAATGTGTCTTTTATAATTTACAAATTGAAGGAAAGCATGTGTATTCTATATGTATGAAGTCATGACACCAAAATAAATATATATATAATATATTTTTATAACTGTTTTTTTTACACTGTTAAAATCTTGATTTAAATTTTTTCATTATTATTATCATAATAATAAAAAAATTTTGAAAAAGTTTTTAATTGTAAATAAATTTAAAAGAAATAATTTGATTTTTTTTTAAAGAAATGGACAATCATTAGGAGAAGCTTTTGATAATATACGAATTGGTCCTGGAATTGCCTATTTTCCAGCAGTAAGTCTTGCATATAATGAGAATTTAGTTGCTAATTTTGGTGCTGTTCCTTTTCGTCATCCTGTTCCTGGATTTCATCCATTGGAATCAATACCATATCATAACATTGCAAAAGCAACAAAATTATTTAGTTGGTTAAGAAGATTGCTCACTTTGTATATATCAACTGTACAGGTAATTATTTGAAATAATTTAAAAGAAAATAATATAAAATATATATAAATTACGAAAAATATATTCCTTTTTCTTTCTAGAATAGAATGGAACCCATATTACAAGATGCCAAAATTGTTAATAATCTAATCAAAGAATGTAATAAAACTCATATATTTTTACTAGCTGTTCCATTATTAAATAAGTTGGGTCCATATTTGGTAAGTAAATTTAGTATACTACATTAAATTTATTTATATTTTAAATATGTAATTTTACAAATGAAAGAAAAATAAACTTTTAATAAAAGTCTATTACCAAAAAATTTAGAATTTTTGAAGTTTTAACATTAATTCAAAATAAATGCAGACATTATTCAAAATTGAAGTTTTTATTAACTTCCTAATTTTTATTCAAATGTTTCAAATTAAGAAGAAAATAATTTTTCTTTGTTTTTAATTTTTAATATTTTAAACGTTATGAAATTTCTTTAGATATTAATATTTTTTCTTTTAAAATTACATTGAATCATATTTTATACAGGTATTCCTTACTTAACGTGGGATTTGATTAGCATACAAAATTAATTGTGTCAATCCCTTTATGTACACAGGAGAAGTTTTAATTAATGTGGCTTTACCAGCTATCTTTACTTAACATAGAAACCATATTTGGTTAACACAACCTTGATATACACAGTAACATTGAGATTAATTAACCACATTAATTAAGGGATACCTGTATTAACTTATTATAAAATACAAAAATATGCAGATTAAAATTAATATCTTTGAATTCTGAATAACTTCCAGATATTAGTTAAAGTATTGTCATTATTTTATTTTGTTTCATTTCTAAATAAACACCACCTTTAATCATCCAGCAAATTATGTAATATTTCAAAAACGTTTTCAACCATTTTTAAAGTATTAAATAAGTTTTTAAATAATTTGCTGGATGATTAAAGGTGGTGGGTGTTTGTTTAGTTATTCTAATTCCAGTAGAAAGTAATAGTATTGTTTGTTTGTTTCATTTCATTATATAATTTTTAAGTTGTATAAATTATTTTGTTATTTGGAAGCAAACTGCAGCTTTCTCTTCTTAGATTGATTTTTATTATTTCTACACTTTTAGTGAATCTATAATATATTTAAGATTAAATATTTCAAAATTTCAGGTTTCACCGTACATCAATGAATCATGTTTTCTGTCATTTCTTTTTCAATTATGTGGTGATATACCAAAAGATAATAGTTACAACATAAAGGAAGTCAAATCACCAATTCTTGCATTGTTAGATATGCTATGGGCACTTTTAGAGGTAAGTTTAGAGAGTTTATTAATTAATTATTCTGCTTTTTGAATACTTAATTGCTCTGAGCATTTTGGTAAGTGTGTATTTATGGACAAGTTCTTTTGCATCAGTAATTTGCTTACAGGATTACAGGAAAAAAATGTGCTATTTATTTACTGATAATTGAAATATATTTACATTTTATATATTGTATATGATAATATGGGAGTTTAAGTTTTATTTGTGGTAAGTAATTATTAATATTTAGTAATCTCTAAACATATTCTTAATGCCAGAAATAAGTATAGTAAAACCTTAATTTAATGGAGAGGGCTTCTTTTGTGAGATATCAAATTTGGCTTTTTTTTTACTCTTTTGGCACCAAAAAATATTTTCTACTTTTTTGAACAATCTTCAACAGAAAAACATCACAGATTTTTTTAGCTTTATTCTGTTTAACCACTCTGATATACTGTTCTACACTTTAGGAGTGAATATGGTTTCCTCTTCATTTTGCAAATTGAAAATCATTTAGAACATTAATTTGTTTTTGTAAATAAATTTTATTTTATTTAACTTTATTTAGTAAATTAATTCAAAATATTATTTAGAGATTTTGATCATTTATTAAGCCTTAACTTCTTAAATTATACAACCTTGACTTTGACCCTGACCCTAAAAAACTGTTAATATGAATTTTTGATACAGTAAACTAACTGCTGTTCTCCTAGTAATTTCTATTAACATGAGTTGACTGCAATATTCATAAATAAAATTTAAAATACTCTTATCAAATTCTCCTTTATGTTAGAGAAATTTCTATTTGATCTAGCAAAAAAATACAAATACTGAAAATTTGTATTTAAAAATGCATTTGCGTGAAAATTTATTTATATTCATTAGAAATTATTTAATCTGTTTTCAAGTTATAAAAATAAGAGATAATGTGTTTACTGTATTTATTATCAAGTCGTGGAAATGTGACTCTTGATAATGCAACATTTTATAAAATTTGTTGTGTTGTTCAAAAAGAAAACAATACACGTAACCTAATTTTTACCTCTATAACTTAACACTAAGTCAAATGAGCAATTATTTATTGTAATATTGTCACAATGCTGGGCTGAAATTTTAAATCATGTTTTTAATTTATTTAATTTAGAATACATGCTCTCCACCTCAAATTAGTAGGGGCTTGCCCCTGTACATCATACTTTTTCTTTAACAATAGAGTCGTGCCAGTCATCTATCAAACATGTTTCAGGGGAAATATTTTGAATTGCATCAGAAGTTATTATATAGTTATCGGAGCCTCCTATTCCTAACATTTCCATATCTGATCTTGTATTTCATCTATTTAACTTTGTTCTCGAGATTAAGGAAAGACAGACAGATGGACAACACTGGGAATTTATAGGTCTACAACTTTTTCAAATTGCAGCCCAATAAGTTATTGTTCTTCACTGGTGACTTTGATAATAGCATCAATTCCATGTGCTAACAAAGGATATAAGCCTTTTTCCAATGTAACACTGAAAATGTCATAAAACAAATATCAGTAACTTGAATAGCCACTATTTTGTTTTTAATTAAAATTGAATTACAAATAGAAATTGGTACATAGTTAATACATACATGAATTTGCACATATAATATCTTTATGAAAATTCCTCTATTTAGATTACTGTTATCTCTAAGACATAAAACTCATCATTTTCAGTGACTCGTTCCTTTCTCAGTTCACATTAAGTTGAGTTTGCAGGACTCTACTATATTTCTCAATCACAGAATTGTTAAAGATGCCATATTAAGCACTGCTTATATTAATGATATATGATAGAATATTATATTATTGCACATTGAAGCATGTGAAATTTTAAAATAATGCTTATTAAATGTAAATACTTTTGTTAATGAAATATGAATTAAAATTTATTGATTAACGTTCATAATGGGAAAACTCAAATTCTCTCTATTATTTATCAATTTTTAAATGTTATTACTCTAATAATTATTTAATATATATTTTTCATTTTTTTTTAATTTTAGTCTCATGAAATTCAACAATGTCTTGAACATCTCATTGTTGCTCTGTTAACTGGTTACAGATTTTCACCAGCAATGAAAGACTTTTATCAGCAAAAATGTTACTTGATATTAATGCTGAATATTCTCAGACATAGAGCATCAAGAAAATTTCTACTACAAAATGTTTTATATCCTTTTATGAACATACACAAACTGTTTTGAGACTTTTTTTAGTTTAGTTTAATTAAATTTTAACTTATTTTAATGGCTTTTATAAAATATTGAACTATTATTTTTAATATTTTATAGAATAATATATCAAATAATTTGTGGTAATTACCGTATATTCTGGCGTATAAGACGACTTTTTAACCCAGGAAAATCTCAAAAGTTGGGGGTTGTCTTATACGCCAGGTGCTGCAGTCAGCTGGGACGCCCAGGGTATGGATAGAAATAGAGCGGCATTGTGCCCAGAAAAGCATGCATCTTTCACCCATCCGGCCCACCCTTGTATGTATCCTATTATCGTATTGCTTTCTCTGCCTCTCAGATCGCACTCTGAGGACTGCAGTGAAGCGGTGCAGGTGCGCATGTGTGAGATCTGAGAGGCAGAGAAGAAGGTACTGTACAGTACAGTTATAGGATACAAGGGCGGGCCGGTATGTGAGACATCTCACTTCAAAATCAGGCTAGAATCGGTCTTTTTCTTGAAATAAAAAAAAATTATTGGGAGAAAATAATTGATAGCGAAAAAGATGCTGAATTTTTCTGCCAAATTTTTCCTACCCAAAAGGCCGAGAGATGCCGGCACTTTTTCGACTTTTTTTTTTGAGTAAACTCGGAGCGCAATAAAAACGTTATTTATTGCATTTTTTGCAGCTCAAAGAAATTGGAGAACTTATATTTTTTGAAATTTTTTGAAACATTTCGGAAAAAATGCAACAAAAAATCCACTAGAGGGCATCTCACAGAATCCACGTGATCATAGAAGGGGAAATAGGATACAAGGATGGGCCGATATGAAAATGTCCAACAGTCAAGTATATCCCAAACTCTATATTTTAACTGTAAAACGGGGGTCATCTTATATGCCCAGTCGTCTTATATGCCGGAATATACGGTATATGTTATCTATTTTCATATCATGTTCTATAATTTTTTCAAAGCTTTACGTTGAACTGAGCAGTTTTTTTTTAAATTATATATATTAACTTTCATTTATCTCTAATTATTTATCAATTTTTAAATGATAAAAATTAATTTCAATACATAATTCTCTCTGATAGATAATGCTTAAGTGAAATAGTTTGGTTCATTTCATTAGAAAGTATTGAGAATACTGAAATTTTTTTGATATTTTTACAGTTATTTTGATAATAATAGTTCATTTGATTAATATTCATAGTTTTTTTCTAGAATTTTGAAGTGGAAAGAAGAAAATTTGAAATATTATTTTATTTTCATGTCTTTGGCTTAATCAATTTTGAAATTGTAAATTGATTTGAGAAGTTTTTAGTAATAATCAAATTATTTATAATTTATTTATAGAAGTCTCAAACTACAACAAAAAATGCTTTTGCTTAATAGATAATAAATGTATTTATTTTAATTCTAAAATGAATATTCCTATTTTGTTTAAATTTAGAAATATATTTTTATAAGGTAAAGTGATAAGAAAGGATCTAAACATTCTTTATTTTGCTGAATTATGATATTGTATGTAGTTGTGACAGGTTTATAACAGCATGTTATATTTAACTAATATTGATTGATTAATTGGCTCATGAATCTGGTTTATTGTCCACTCTGGCTGACAATATAAAACCACATCATTTCTAAGTAATTATAACTAATCTCTGTTTTTGCAAATTTTTGAAAATAAGAAAAAAAGAGAAATAAATAAAGATTATATTGCAGTCATTCACTGATGAACAAGCAAATATAAACCAATATATAATTTTTTAAATTTCTGGAGATAATGTGTTTACTGTATTTATTATCAAGTCGTGGAAATGTGACTCTTGATAATGCAACATTTTATAAAATTTGTTGTGTTGTTCAAAAAGAAAACAATACACGTAACCTAATTTTTACCTCTATAACTTAACACTAAGTCAAATGAGCAATTATTTATTGTAATATTGTCACAATGCTGGGCTGAAATTTTAAATCATGTTTTTAATTTATTTAATTTAGAATACATGCTCTCCACCTCAAATTAGTAGGGGCTTGCCCCTGTACATCATACTTTTTCTTTAACAATAGAGTCGTGCCAGTCATCTATCAAACATGTTTCAGGGGAAATATTTTGAATTGCATCAGAAGTTATTATATAGTTATCGGAGCCTCCTATTCCTAACATTTCCATATCTGATCTTGTATTTCATCTATTTAACTTTGTTCTCGAGATTAAGGAAAGACAGACAGATGGACAACACTGGGAATTTATAGGTCTACAACTTTTTCAAATTGCAGCCCAATAAGTTATTGTTCTTCACTGGTGACTTTGATAATAGCATCAATTCCATGTGCTAACAAAGGATATAAGCCTTTTTCCAATGTAACACTGAAAATGTCATAAAACAAATATCAGTAACTTGAATAGCCACTATTTTGTTTTTAATTAAAATTGAATTACAAATAGAAATTGGTACATAGTTAATACATACATGAATTTGCACATATAATATCTTTATGAAAATTCCTCTATTTAGATTACTGTTATCTCTAAGACATAAAACTCATCATTTTCAGTGACTCGTTCCTTTCTCAGTTCACATTAAGTTGAGTTTGCAGGACTCTACTATATTTCTCAATCACAGAATTGTTAAAGATGCCATATTAAGCACTGCTTATATTAATGATATATGATAGAATATTATATTATTGCACATTGAAGCATGTGAAATTTTAAAATAATGCTTATTAAATGTAAATACTTTTGTTAATGAAATATGAATTAAAATTTATTGATTAACGTTCATAATGGGAAAACTCAAATTCTCTCTATTATTTATCAATTTTTAAATGTTATTACTCTAATAATTATTTAATATATATTTTTCATTTTTTTTTAATTTTAGTCTCATGAAATTCAACAATGTCTTGAACATCTCATTGTTGCTCTGTTAACTGGTTACAGATTTTCACCAGCAATGAAAGACTTTTATCAGCAAAAATGTTACTTGATATTAATGCTGAATATTCTCAGACATAGAGCATCAAGAAAATTTCTACTACAAAATGTTTTATATCCTTTTATGAACATACACAAACTGTTTTGAGACTTTTTTTAGTTTAGTTTAATTAAATTTTAACTTANTCAAAAAAAAATGTAAAACTATATTACTTTTCAATAAAATAAACTGAATTAAGTTTGAATACAAGTTTATTTTAAGCTTTTATATGAATTTCTTTCAGACATTCGAAGTAATTCATTAAGCAGCCTATTTCTTTTAATATCTGCAAACTTTTTTTATGCGGTTTTAAGTTAATTTTAACTCGTTGTTTTGGTTTTATGCGATTTTAGAAAATTACGGAACGTATCCCTACTTTTTCAAGGCAAGTAAAGTCTTTTTTTATGCGCTTTTCTGTAGAACATATCCACCGCATAAAACGAGACCTTACAGTATAACATAAGAATGATAAGCTCATTTTCATATTTTGTTTGTTTTATGTACTCATTATTTAAGTACAATCATCAATCATAACAATACTACTAGTGTGAAAATTCAATAAAATAAATACATAATTACCGAAAAAAAACCAGCAATAATTCACTTCCAAATGAACGTTTTCTACCATTTTCAACGATCATAATCAGTTTCAATTCCAAGAGTTTGAAAATTGCATAACTTCAAGATGCAATTTTCGAACTCTTGGAATTGAACCTGATGATGATCGTTGAAAATGGTAGAAAACGTTCATTTGGAAGTGAATTATTGCTGGTTTTTTTTCAGTAATTAAGTATTTATTTTATTGCATTATTTAAGTTCTTTTAAATGATTTTCTATTTGCTTAATGAATTTTTAATTTCTCAAAGCAACTAATTGTTGTAGAAAACAATGATAAATAACATATACACATCAAAAAGTTTTAATTATAAACTTTTTTCCAACGAAAATCACTTCATATTCTCTCAGATTTTTATGCATTGACAAAAATCAATGATACAGCAAAAATTTACATGTACTTATAATATATTTAATTAAATTATATAAATTGTAATATTATACAGTTTATATATAGTCTGTATGAAATACAGACTATATATAAACTGTAATATTATACAGTTTATATATAGTCTGTATGAAATACATTATATATATTTAAAATGAAAATCAGTGTAAATTTTATGAACTTTATCTTTTATATAAAAATGTCTAAAAAGATCAGCAAGGTTTAGATTAATATTTATTGGAATAAAGATTCATAACAATAAACTTTGCAAATTGTGTTTCCAATGATATCAAAAATATTAGAACAAGAAATTAACATAAGAAAAATTAAAATATTTGAATACTATTGTATGTTTGTCATTCAACAATGCAGACTTCTATTCATCAAATAGAAGAAAGTTTAAATGAAGCAAACAAACTGTTTTTGAAAATTCAAATGTATAAAAACAAACAAAACTCAATTGAAATCTTTGTTTCAGTTAAATTTTATTCTGTGTAATAAATCATTTGAAGAAGTCTCTAATGTAAAGGTAACAAATTCATTCACAGTTGTTTTTAAATATTCAATCATTTTCATATGTAGCTGATTTTCTATAGTATATCACAATGTTGTAAGTGTTTACTTACTTATAATTGAATTTCTACAGCCAAATATTGCTGTTAATGATTTTATGATTAAGACAAATAAAAATGATCTTATCAGTATTTATACATACAAATTTTGTATTGTACATTTATATAATAAACAACCAAATAGTATTTAAATTAAAATAGTTTATTTATGAAATTTATGTTTTGTTTACTTGTACTTTTATTTACATTTCAAATTTTTTAATAAATGTAATGCTTATCATTTAATTTTATCATTATGTATTGTATTTTGTCTGAACAGCAATTAATCATTTGATAAAGAAAGAGATTTTATTTATTAATTGTTAATTTTTATAGTAGCATGAAAGATATTTTATAAAACGTCATTTTATTAATTAAAGTAAAAGTACCAAAATTTTTAACTTTGACATTTATGTGTTATCAGAACAGATTGTATTGAAGATTACAGTTTTCTACATGTGTTACAGAAAATTATATAGATTCATGTATATTTTGTAAGATATGTGAAGAACTTTATCAAAAAATTTAGTGTTTAACTCCTTCATTCCCGATCAATTTTTAATTAATTATAATTAAACATAAAAAATACTTAAAACTGAAAAAAAGCAAAAGAAATGTGTTAATTTTGAAGGAAAAGCTTCAAAGTTTAACTTCCTTTGTCTTGCCTTTCTGTGAAATTTGACACCGATGAGTCATTGTTTACACAGCTGGATGACCTTGAGAACAGCTGGAGTCGGATTTCCTGGGACATTCTCAGACATCTCGGGAGGACAAGGGTTGAAGTAGGCTGAATATTAGCTGGCCGTATATTTTTAAATATTTTTTAAAAATTCAAATTTTAATTGCGATTTCCAACCCCCTAATTAATTAAATTTATATATAATAAAATCTATTAATTAAAAAAAATAAAAAACTATTGGAGGTCATTTTTGACATCAGAAAGTAGCTTTAAATAACTTTACCGAAGGAAAATCCATGTGCTAGAACTTTAGAACGATGAATTAAATTTGATAAAAAAATCCCATTAAAAAACAATTAAGCCTTAATCGAGCCTTATGAAAGGCTAATTGAAATCGCGATAAAATTTTTTCGCATGGGTAAAAATTTTTGAAAAAATTTGGAGACAAAAAACATTCCAAAAATTGAAAAAAAAAAATTTTTTTCAAAAATGGCCTTAAGGACCGAGTTTTTTGTAACGCTACATAAACTTGACGAGTTAACTCGTCAATGGAAATGAAGGGGGTAAATTACGTAATTACATAAATTATATAATTCCAGATTTACTATTTTAAAAAAATACATATTTACTAAAGATTATACTTTATTTTTCATAGAGCTTGAAAACATACAGCTAGAAATTTTAATTCAATTATTTGATGGTACAGATATGAAGCAAGTAAGTATTATAATTTCTTAAAATACTCTCTTCTTTTTTAAATGTTTCTTTATCTGATTAAAAATTATTTGATGTAGGGTCAGTCAAGTCGGACAATATTTCTTGCAAAGTTTAGAGAGTTTTTAAAAGAAAATTCAGGTGTAGCACGTGTACGAATTAATTTTTATTAAAATATCATGTTTTTCAAATTAATTATATTATAACTAAGATATGTTTGTTTTTATTTTAGAGTCAGCTTATAAATCTTTGCCCTTTACCAGTTGCACTTGCTTTTTTTCATCGTTTGGTATCTCTGTTACGACATTGTCTTACAATATATTGTTTAAAGAATCCTCAGATGGGAAATGTGATTACTACTAATGGTATAATTTATATATTAATTTTATGATTTATAAACATTTAATATTTCAAGAAAATAAAATAACCCAATGCACTGTTAACTGAAACAAAAAGTTTTTAATTACAATTTATTTGAAGGATATAATTTTAAAGTTTCTTAAATAAAATTTTTTAAATTTTATCAAAATATAGGTATTTATAGAAAAAAAATAGTCATTAACTCATATTCTTTGCGATATATTACTACAAGGGATGTCCAGAAAGTAAGTTTTTCAGGTCTGTAATACTTAATTAAACAATAGATTCATGTGAGTTAATGCACAATAACACATGTAAATGCTGCTAATTCTTTATATTATCACCATGATTATTTAAACATTTATATAATATCTGGAAATGAGCATTTATATGTCATAGTTGAAGAATTTTTCCAGCAACAAAGTGCTATTGTTGGATGATAACTTTTGTTTTGTTGCTGCCATTTATTTGCCACCTTGACAAAAAATTCTATGTGAAGAAAAAAGGTGAAAATCCAAAGAATTAAGGTCTAGGCTAGAAGAGGATGGATGCTCAAAAATGCATCATTTAAACTTATTCAAATAATGCATGATAGTGCAAACAGCAACATATGGTTGGATATCATCATGAATAAATAGATTTTTTTCACAAGCAGATCTCAATGCTTGTTCAGAATAACTTTCCATTTTCTAATACTTTAATGCTAATTGTTCCTTTACCATAAATATCCATAGTTTTCTTACAAATTATGATGGGTGAAGTATATTTTGTATTGAGAAATCTAATAAACAACTTCATCTTGCATTTGGTGGATTTTATGTTTCTGCACTTATTTTAGAATGTTTGATTAGACTAACAAAGAACTTTAACAATGGAGTGTTAAACATGTTTATAGACTCATTAGAGTTTGCTGTGTTGACACACTGCAGATGGATATACTACTTGATCTTTGATGCAAGCAAAATGAATATTCCTTGTAGCTGTAAAGATACATTTTCATTAAATTAGTTTGACCAACAGCATGGTTTGTGTAGTCAGTTGTCTAGGAATAATTTTTTACGTGTAATAGATTAGAAACAAATAAAATCTGATACTATTTTTGGTGGAATTTTATGACTATAGATAGATGTCAGATTCTGTCAGCTAATAATAATTTTTATTTAAAAGTAATGACTGCTAGTAATAAGCTTATCCTTGGTTAAAGGAAAGAAAATATTTAATTACCAGTCATTTAGAAAATATCGTAAGAAGAGAGTAGATGTAATATTACTACTATTACATTGTTCTACAATGCTTCAGCCATAAGGATTCTTGACTATTTTTACAACTGATTTCTCTCCATCTCTCTTTTTCATATTAGTCATTTCTATGTGTTTTTAATATCATATTCTAATAATACATATATAAAATTGTGAAGAATATAAAATCAGTGATAATTTCTTTATTTACAATTTTTAAATGATATTTAAATTGTCATTAAAAATTTTTGTATATTTCTCTGTGCATGTGCGCACGCGCTTTAGGTGCCATTGAAACACTTTCATGTATTTTATGTTTTTTTGTAAGTATGGCACTTATGGAAGATCAGTTTTTTCCTAACATTCTTGCAACCTCAAGAAGCAAACTTTTCTTTTTTCACTAAATCTGAAATTTTAACTTTTTTTCTAAAGTAGTTACTCTAAAGTAGTTGGCTTTTCTTTGACTTAAAAGGTTTACCCAACATCACTACCTTTGCATTTTGAGGCATTGTAAAAAGTAATTAGTGTAAATGAAACAAAGAGAAGTACTGATATCACATACCATGAAACTTAGAGAAGCACATACCATGTCATATCAGTGCTTCACTTAGTTTCATTTGACATATTACTATGAGAACTTTTCATGGCAAACACTGATGCCAGTCCCAGTGTTTAGTGCAAAACAAAGAAATGAGTCATAATAACATTTTTCTAGAACAAGATCAAGCATGACTGAGCAAGATCCTGTGAGACTTTATGCATCTTGAAAAATGGTGCAGATTTAGCATGCAATTAAGAATTTTTATTTTACATACTTTCTGTTTTTATTTCTTTCTTGGATTAGTAACAAACCTGAAACCACATGTGGCAAGTCTGTGTATGATGGGGACCTACTGCATTTACTTTTATTGGAATTTATTCTTAAATCTTTTTCAAGCAGCTGTGTTTGCTCTTATGGATAGAGTTTATATGGATCAAAAGTGATAGATGGAAAAAAATAATTGAATATTACAGACAGAGAATTTTTTGATTTGCTGATTTTTGTGTATTTATAGATGATAAGAAAACTGCACAAATAAAATAGGATGTAAATTGTGTAAATATTGATCATTGGTAGAAATAAAAATGTTCTCTTAACTCTTTCTAAACACACAATAAGAATAATGACAACTATTACTTTTATTAAATAATTAATTAATGTATTAATTCTTTGATAACTATATTTAAATTAACTGTTATTATTAAATAAATATAGGGAAAATATTAAGAGAAGTCATTAAAATAAAATAAAATCTGCGATTATAGACTTTTTATCATATCAAAGAATTTATTTGTTCTTAATTTTTCTCTTTGATTATCTTAAATTTTCTTAACAAATTTATTCTCTTTTCAAACACATTTAGCAAGAATATGGTTTTGATGAATTCTAATACATCAGTTTTACTTTTTATTAACTATTTAAAATATATATATATATATATATATATATATTTTTTTTTCTATTGCNGTTTACGTGCCAAATTTAATAGTTTAACACAGTCGAAATATATACATATATATACAAAATATATAGGCCTATATATATATATTTTTTTTTTTCTATTGCATTTAATTGAATTTTGTAAAATAATATTCATCTCAGTATCTGTTCTTAGTGATATGTTTGTTTGTAATTATATGGCATTGAAATTAGCTTAGTTATTAGCTATCTAATCTAAGCAGATTAATTAGAAGTTTGATGAATCTTCAAATGCAACTATTTGAATATTTATATAATAATACAGACAAATTTTGAAATTTGCAAAAAATTAAATTTAATCTAAATATATGTGGAAAGATATTTATAAATTATTAACATAGCAGTCTAATTGTTGTTTAAAAATTGTAAACTAAATAAGTAAAATGGCAAAATCATATTTGGGACAAGACTGTCTCTGAGACAGAATCACTTTGATGCTCAAGGCAGGTCTCGTTCTCATTCTCCTATCTTCTTTGATATCACTGCTTTTGGGCACGATCATTCAAACTTTGCCTGCCACGACCACGATATCGTTCATGATGCATCTTTGGTGAAATTAACCTATCTAATTTCAAAATTTCTCTCTGTTGCGTGTCAGCCCAGGTTGAATTTTTGTCAATGCGTAACGAAAAGTTTCCATTTTTGAAAAAAATAATCGTGGCTATTGTATCATCCAAAATTATTGTTTTATTTTGCACAAACAATATACAGTTTAACCCAATTATAACGTCATCGGATGTAACGACAATCCTAATATAAAATCAAATTTTTATCGGTCCTATGATTTTACTATACTAGATAATGTTAAAAAAAACCACTTGTAACGACATAAAACCATTTTAACATCATATTTGAAGCACTCCCAAATTTACAAAATTAGATTACAAATTTTATTTAACATAGAAGAAACTACATGTTTAGTCCTAAGGTCAGAGTTCACTTCTTAGAATGACTGTGGGTGGTACTCTCCCCTACCTGACTTCGGTGGGGTGAGGTGGCTGTTTTGCCTGTTTGTAGAAGAGGGTCGCCATTTTGTATTTTATTTGACTCTATTCTCGGTCTCCTGACTACCTACGAGTCTGGACTTTTTTATGTGCAAATGATTTGGGCACCTAATACTCTGCCAAATATCAACTCTCGATGTGTACTCTTTCATACCTCTATGCTGGTAAGAACATCGGGCAGTACAATTTTATAAACAAGACATAGTCTTGTCAAAAAGATAAAAATAATACATTATTTTGTGAAATATCTATAAAATACTTTTTAGAGATAAATTATAAAATTGCTATAAATCCTGTTTGATTATGATCTTAAAAATGTTCAATGTTTTAGTAATAATATACAAATTATATTTTTAAATAAAAATACATTTTTATGTTGTGTTTATTAATAATGAATTATTTTCAAGTTCAGAATAAATGAAATATTTAAAATTTTTGTTCTTTAGAAACTATCAATAAAAGTAATTATTACATAATTAATAAAAGTATCAGGTAAGACACCTTATAACTAAAGTAAAAAGTCAACAATAAAAAAATCCTTCATTTACAGTAGAGCGTCGTTTATCCAAAAGTCAGTTATCCGAAAGCATTCCAGTCGACAAATTTAAATTTTCACTAGTGCTGCAGATGGCGCTGCAATCTTTGGCTATATCTTATGCTACTCCAGTATTTTTTTTGTTGTTGTGTGTGTTTTAGCTAGCAGCACTGGCACTTTTTGTGTGTTTTTCTGAGGATTGTGTTAATGCTGAATCAAACGTTTTTGATACGAGATCAACTTCTAAAGTATATTTTTTTGTTTTTTATATTTTTCAATAAATTTATTTTGTTTGTACAAAATAAAAAAATAATTTTTAATGATACAATAGCCACGATTATTTTTAAAAGTTTTCGTTAGGCTTAACATCGACGAAAATTCAACGCAAAGCGACACGAAACAGAGGAAAATTTCAACATGGGATAGGTTAGTATATTTTTTCGTGCATAATCGGTTATCCAAAAAATAAGTTATCCAAACAACCCCAGTCCCCAATTAATTCAGATAAACGATGCTCTACTGTATTAAGCTTTCTTTGAAATATAAAATCTCAACATATAAAGAAGGGTTTGTTGAAGATAATTTTATTATAAATGGGTTAAGAAAAATATTTTGTACTGTACTTTGAGATAAATAAATAAATTTTACAGAATAAAAATAAATCTGAACTGAAAGATTGTTGAACTTTTTTTTGAAACATTTTTAAAACTGTGTCTTGTCTTCAGCAAAACTTGTAAACTTTATTCACTACTGGAATGAATAGGAAAATATTTCAAAATTTTACATTTCAAAATCTTAATAAAATGTAGAAAATAATAATAATAAAGTTAAACTGATTAGTTACAATGTGAAACAGTGATAAATAGCTAATTTCTTATTTCAGGTTTCTGTTTTTTCAATTTGAAATGTAGAATATTAATAAAATGTTTCATATTTTTCATTTTTTTTTCTTGTTGGATATGATGCTTTAGTTTTTATCTTGGCATTTCCAAGTACAGTATATGTAAAATAAATAAAATAAATTAAAAAAATTAAAAAAAATATTGTTTATCCAATTCTTAATTTTTGGATGATGCAACTAAATTTACATTGTTAAAGTTACAAATACACTATCATTTTAGAATAGACATATTGTTATCATATTATAATATATTGTAAATAAAATTATTTTCAGATCTTACAGTTCCCATTAATGTTTTTTATGACAACTCTATCAATTATTTTGAAATACAAAGAATTGGAGGTTTAATATCACATCTTCAAAAGATTTTTAAAGATAACATCTTAGAAGCAGTTGGACCAAGTCATAAAACATTTCCTCAGTTATTAGAAGATAAAAGTATGTAATTACAGTTTAAAGTTTAATTAGTTATAAAAATTAATGTATACATGGTGATTCTCTCACTAGTAAACACAAACATCCCTCAATAACTTTTTATTGCTTTATGGTTTCCTATGAAAATTTACCTGCACTTATATTGTACAGTATGTTGCAAAATAAGATAATTTTTAAAGCAGATGTATTGACAATGGTCTCTCTAGCATCTAAGCATTTTTGTGTGTGAAATTGCAAATTTGCAAAGGCATTTGCTAATGTGACTTCAGTATTGGCAAAAACCTCCTATCGTATCATATGTCTTTGACAGTATCAATTGCTCAAGGATTATTTCTGTATACTTGCTGTTCCAATAATCCCAAAAGAAGAAATCAGGTGGCCTCAGATCTAATGATCAATTTTCCTCATGTTTGCATTAGATGTGTGGCACATTGTTTTATCTTGCTAAAAAACCCTTCTGTTAATTCATTATCTGTCAACTAATTTACAAATTCACTGAATATGTTCAAATACATCTCAAAGGTAACAGTTACATTGAAGAATATGGAACAACACTACACTTATTTTTCCAAATGTAAAGGCTTCATATGGGTTTTCTTTTATCAATATATATATTTTGCAAAAAATTATTGAGGATCATTTGAATATCCTAGTGCTAGTGAGAGAATCATTCTGAATGAACTATAACAGCTAGAAATGTTTTAAAAT